AGCATACACAGATCCTTCTAATGTTTGCCACTTCTAACACGTGGTGGCTCTAAATCCAGCAAAGACCATGCAAACAATACCCTGTGCTGGTTAGCAGGTATAATTTCTGTGCACAGCTTTATCAAGAAAACACAGACACAGAAACAAAGCTGGAGCAATTCTCAAGGCTTTCAACACAGCTGCAAGGAGAACATTCCTGAAAAGAGAAAACGCCATGCGTCTGTATTAAGATGGGCGAAACAGCCTATCCCAGGAAATCCCAAGTGACAAAGCCTATTATCAGCCACTGTTATCTAAAGAATCTGGCACTGGGATGGCTGGGAAGTCCGTGCTCTCCCACAGCCTGCTCCCTGGCACTGCCACACCTCTGCCTGCATTCCAATTACTGGAGCACACCGTGCAAACTAGTTTATAGGAGTGCTTCTTAAATAAACAAGCCAAGCTTAATTAATTTACAGGACCAAAAGGTGCTTTGTAAGTGAAGCTGCTGCACTACTGTTTAAAAAGGATGTGTGATTCAGAGTGAGGCAAAAGGTAATTCAGGGGGATTAAGGCTTGGGATGGCTGTCAGGTGTGCCAGGAGCAGGGTATCCTCTAAGCTCAGAGCTGTCCTCTCTCTTGTCAGAGAGGTGGAAGCCAGGCTGAGGACACCTGTCTGCTCCACACATCCTATGGGCTTAGGGGTGGCAGCCTTTCCTGGACCTCCATCAGCAGGACCCAGCACCACCTGGGCACAACAGGCAGGAATACACACCACAGAGTGCTGGGAAGGGTCACTCACTCCACTGACTTCACAAAGCGCATTAGCAACTGCTAACAAATACTGAGAACAAATTCCTTCCTTTCGTGACTTTTCCCCCTCACCCTGTAGCATTCACTATCTTCTGCTACCTCAGTAGCAGAAGAAAACCACTTGTGCATAAAACCAGCTAGCTGCTTAGCTTTCCAGTGCGTTGCTTTTATGGCTGTATAACGCAGGTATTAGAGACCATACACAGCAGGCCCAGCTAGTTTCATTACATGTTATTACGTGACCTCTGATTCTGACTTGGGTCTGCTTTACAGGTTTTATTATGTCATGGATTTGCATTTAGCAATGTGGTTTTGGTTGAGGTAGAGTTTATTCTTTGCGTAGCATCTGGTATGGAGATTTATAAGCTAGTGTTTTGGATTTATGGTAAAAACAGTGTGGATAATGCAGAGATATTTCCATTACTGCTGAGCAGTGCTTACACAATGTCAAAGCTTTTCTGCCTCCCACCCTGAAATAAATGGGGAGGAGATCTTTCTCCTTTTTGATGCCTTTATTAAAAAGAACCAGCTCAGGTGACCACTGAGTGGGCTGGGGCTGCTCAAGGAGTTGTGAGGTGACACTGGGACAGCTGGCCCCAATTGATGTCCCACACCATACGGTGTCATGTTTGGAATATAAAGCTAGGGAAGAAGAAGGAAGAGGGAGACATTGAGAGTGATTGTGTTTTGCCTTCCAATTCATCGTTACACTTGATGGAGTCTGGCTTTCCTGTAATTGACTGAACACATGCCTGCCCATATGAAGCAGTGAATATTTTCCTTGTTTCTCTTTGATAGTGTGCAGCTTTTGCTTTCCCTATTAAACTGTCTTTATCTCAGCCCATGATTTTTCTCACTTTATTCTTCCAGTTTTCTCTGCATGCTCCTGGTGGAAGTGATCTGCCAGCTGAGGTTAAACCATAACAAACGATTAAGACTCTCTTAAAAAATCTTTATGCACACAGCAAGCTTTGAATGTTTTCCACTTAGAGAAAAGTTTTTATCTAATACTCCCATAGCCACCTTCAAGCATCTGGTAACCTGATCTGGCCAAATAATTCCAGAGTTGACAGAACCCAAGTCCAAGCCAATGATTCCAGCTTTCACAGCGGGGCAGCAGCTGCCAAAAATAATCACTGAATCGTAGAATGGTCTGGGTTTAAAGAAATCCCAAAGTTATCATCAAGTTCCAACCCCTCTGCCATAGGCAGGAACATTTTCCACTAGACAAGGTTGCTCAATGCCCCATCCAGCCTGGCCTTGAACACTTCCAGGGATGGGACAGCTGAAATTGCTGCAGTTGAGTAGGTTTTTTTGGTTTGGGTTGTTTTTTGTTTGTTTGTTCTTTGTTTTGTTGTTGTGGGTTTTTTTTTTTTTGTTAAGGGAGGTGTCAACTTAGAAGTAATTTACAATTCTCGAGTAAACTATATGTTCCATTCTTACCGTGGCGAGGAGCAGACACAGGCAAACAGAAACATAAACCATCCTACACCAAATTTACCTGCAGAAAACCAGGACAACGGGGCTGGCACGGGGGGAATTTCCTCCCTCGGGTCCCAATCCGTTGGCTGCCCCGTTCCCTGTTCCTTCTCTGAAGCAGGCAGAGGAGCGCAGGCACCCTCGCCGCGCCCGTCCCTCCGCGCCGCGGTGGGGAGGGACACTGCCGGGCCGCTGCCGGCGGGACGGGAACGGGGAGGGACGAGCGGGGCGGGCCGGGCAGGAGCGGGCAGGGACCGGGCGGGACGAGAGGCGGAGCGGGCCCGCTGGCCGGGCTGCGGCACCACCTGCTGGGGAGAGGCGGGAGCACGGCCGCCGTGCCCGCCCGGGCGTCCCGGGAGAGGCTGGAAGCGCCGCAGGCAGAGCGGCTCTCCCGGGTACCCTGCGGGGATGGGCGCTCGGGGAGCGGCGACATCCGTGAGTGCTGCTCGGGGTCAAAGGGAACCTCTCCAGACGTGGGGATCAGAATACCCGAGATAATAAAATAGCCCCCTTTGGTGTGCATGCTATGGACAGTCATCGTCGTCTAATGATAAGGAGGAACGTCCTCACTCTCCACATCCCTTCGAATATTGTTATCCATCTGTTTGGGTGGGGGGGGTTTTTTGGGTTTTTTTTTTTTTTTTTTTTGTTTTGGTTTTTTTTTGTTTTTTTTGGGTTTTTTTTTTGGTTTTTTTTGTTTTTTTTTTTTTTTTTTTTGGTGGTTTTTTTTGTTTTTTTGGGTTTTTAAATTTTTTTTTTTTTTGTGGTTTTTTTGGGGTTTTTTGGGTGTTTTTTTGGCTGTTTTTTTCAGTTTCCTTTTGTGGGTTTTTCTTTTTTTTTTTTTTTTTTTTTGTTTTGGTTTTTTTTTGTTTTTTTTTTTGTTTGTTTTTTTGTGGGTTTTTGTGGGTTTTTTTGTTGTTTTTTTTGTTTTTCTTTTTTTTGGTGTGTTTTTTGTTTGTTTTTTGGTTTTTTTTTGTTTGTTTTGTTTTTGGGTTTTATTTTGTTTTTTGTGGGTTTTTTGTGGTTTTTTTTGTTGTTGTTGGTGTTTTTTTTTTTTTGTGGTTTTTTTTTTTTTGTTACTGGTTTTTTGTTTGTTTGTGGGTTTTTTCCAATTTGTTTTTTTTAAGGCAAACAACCGGCCTTCTTTTGCAGTGATGGATCATGTGACAAAAGTTAAATCACTGTGCTTCTACAACACAGACAAGAAATGCTCAAATTAACATTGACCCTTCCAGGCATATAAGTTCTGTATGGTTTTGTAGGAAACAAAGTGTTTTCTATTCAGCACAGATGATGGATTTAGAACTGCTTGTACTACAACATAAATAATACAATGAACTACTCTAAAAAAGGTCTGTTAGATCATTCTTTCCAGTAAGCCATTCATTTAATATAAAGTTATAGGAAATACAGTGTTCTGAAACCTGACACTCATTGACCAGTGTTTAGCAGTAAATAAAGCAAATCCCATTCCTAAATCAGAATATCAGTTTTAAGCCTGACATGATTGAAATGAGCTCATTTTCATTAATTACAGAAATACCACTGTGGTAACAATACATTTCCAAACAAGCTTAGAGGGATGGTTTCTTGGCTGCCTGAAGGTACCACAATTGCTGCCAAAAGCAGGGCTCCTCCTGCAGCTCTGGTGCCTTGCACTGGTGATCACACAGCTGCTGACCTGGCTGAGAGCTGTGCAGAGGGCCAAGCCCAGCCCACCCTCTGCACCATCATTTATTCCTCAGTGTCAATATGAGGAAATCTGTAGCTTGGGCAGGACAGGGGGAAGACTGGATCATCTCTTTCACAGGCTTAAGCCATCTGGGAAACTACCGCTGAGGTCTTGGAAAATGTGAAGATAGCAAGTGATGGAAGCTCATTAAGACCAAAGAAAAATAAAATTATTACATTATTTTTTTTTCCTTCACATATACTGTAAATATAATTAGTGAAAAGCAGACTTAAAAGTATTATTTCAAAGGCATAGCACTTCCAAAAGGACTAGAATTTTCCATTGTCTTTAGGTTTGCTTCAGTCCTTAAGTCTCTGGACCAAAACTGACTTTCGTGTGACTTCACCGATGACAGCTGGGACTTCTTTGCATACACTTGCACCAGGGCTGGTGATCTTTCATCTCACTGAGCACCCTCCATGATCAAGTGCTGCAATCCTGTGCCAAGAGTTGCAGGTTATTTTCTGTCTGTGTATGGTGCTGATTCTTTCTTTTGGTTTCACAGTGATAGAAAATTATATGTTGGGTTACGTTAGTCCACAGTAAAAATAAATAACTGCAGGAACAGCTCGTGTAGGTCTCAAAATCTTGTGTTCAGCCACTGTTTGCTGTGTAACTGTGACGTCCATATGGCAGAGTTGTCATCTCTATACATTGAATAGATGGACAAGCTTCAACACTGTTCAGTCAGGCTGGCAGACTCATATGTTAATCTGCTACCACAGATGAGACAGCAAATTCCCAGTTCATCAACCAATTCAAATTAAGCATGTGTAATCTCACAGTGACACTCACTACAAACGCAGTGCATACATAGAGATACACAGGATGAAAGGAGTGTCCCGAGGAGTGCTCAACTTCCAAAAATTAATGTCATGTAGGAGCTCTGAATTTTAACATGGGTCATTACCACCAAGCTCCTGTGGTTACTGTTCCAAAGGCAGAGGCTTTTAACTGTGCCAGTCTTCTGTGTGCTACACAAGGGCTGCAGGTGGTGTTACAGGCTTTCCAGTTTGTGGCAGGATAGGGGAGTCCCATCACACTCTGCCATGGAGGTGTACTTTATTGGAGGTGGCAGTGGCTTGAAAGATGGAGGTCTGTTCATCATACTGAAACAGAAGAGCAAAAATGCACTATCACACAAAAGTAGCATAAAAGGCAGTTGTAAAAGGTTCACAGGAGGAGGTGGATTGGCACTAAGTCATTATAAGAGGCACCTGACATTAGCTCTTACATACTGCAACTTCCCTGAGTCTGTTTTATAACCCCAGCACACCTCCTGCTATTCATTTGGCTTTCTTAGCTCCCACCTCACAGTTTTATTTCATTCATGTTTTAAAAGAGCCAAACATGGGCTTTTTGCTCTCACTGCTCTCTGAAAGTATATTTAAAGACTCGTAACTTTTTTTGGGATCAATTTATAAATAAAGATCCCACCTCAAATTAGTTTAAAAAATTTCCTGGTTTTATCTTTGATATACAGGATTTGCAGTTGAGTTTTAAGAGGTTTTTCTAGAATCATAGGTGATTAATTATAACTATGATTTTTTGAGTATTTTAATAATTAGTAAGATTTAAAATAATTGTCTCTTAGATATTGCTTTTACCAGTAGATCTTGGAGTGTTTTAGTAGGGAATCAAACTTTGGTAATAATTGCATACTCAATGCTTCTTTGACTGGGATTGAGTTTCAGGTAGCCTACTTTCACATATATTATTCAAAACTCAAATAGAGCTGCCCTAGAAGTACAATTTCATTAAAACATGTCCTCAAGTAACCATAGAAAATGAGAGAGCAAAAGCAGCTGGCAGGGAGGCTAATAGAAATGGGGGACTCTGGGGACAAAAACTGACTGTTATTTTTCCCTTACACCCTGAAGCTGCACTGCAGCTCTTTTCTTAAAAGTTTATTTTAAAGATAACCCACAGAACACATGAAAGGACTGAGAACATTCTACTTTACATACTGCTGTAAGAGAAAAATGGCATTAGTGATCTGTGTACTTAAAGGCTTTGTGTGCAATGCGTCGTCTCAAATGAAAAGGTGTAAATCCAAACAGCTGGGTTAGAGTTGGTGCGGCTCTCTGTGCCACCCCTGTGGCTCCATCACTGGTACTCACATCTCTGCCTGGTACTGACACCATTTCCTGACGCCTAAAGGTACCAGAGCGCTGCAGAAGAGGAGCAGGACAGCCACGACTGTTGGCCAGAGGAAGTGACTGGCTTTGGTGTTCCTCCTGTCACCTGTAAAGGACACATAGAGCTCATCTGAAGGTCCTCACAGAGGAGGGAAATCGGGGCTTGATGCCTGGGGCTCGCTGCTCCCTGCCCTGCACAGCACTGCTGTCAGTGCAGCCCCTCATCACCAGGCTGAGGATCCCAAACTCCGAGAATCGCAGCTTTGATGTATGGACTTAGCTCACTTTTGTTCTGACTGGGTGTGTGAGCTGATTTCAGCCACCCACTGGCTCACTGGACAAGATTATTTAGGCACAGGCCAGAGAGCATTTCATCCAAAACCCATTGGCTTTCTCTGTTCCCCTGTGAGCTGCTCTGCAAGAAGCTGCATGTCACAGTGCAGACAGGCACACCTGCCCACCCCAGCCCTCCTCCCAGTGGTTTATTTTTCACTGACACCAGACACCAGACCCGGCCAAAGCGTCTGGCCAAGGGCTCAGCTGCCTTTTGAGGTGAGCTCTTGTCAGCAGCACAGCATCCCAGTCCCACTCAAGCTGCCTTTCCCCACTGCAGTGCTAGGATATCCCTCCCCTTCCCCCTTCTGCACAGCCACCCTTGGGGATGCTGACAGAGGTGACCTCAGGTCCTGGGTATGGAGAAGAAGGAGAGAAGGAGCACAGTCCTCCTCCAGCTGCCAGAGGGTGCAGCAGTGGCCTGGGTGCCAGAGAGATCCATGGGTGCTACACCTCAGTGTCACCACCCTGTGCAAGGCTGGCCACACTGGTGTGTTGCCCAGGCTGGGTCTTACCCACCATGGCAACCAGTGCTGTGGCCAGTCCACCATGCTGCATGAGCCAGGAGCTTGCCTTGGGGCACAAGAGTATCACTGGCCAAATTCTGTTGCTGGAAGAAAGCGTGCACTAGAATTTTGCTTGCAGATAGGGGGAGAAGGCTGGAATGCCAAATGCCTGTGACAACCTGTAATATGAGGATACAGCAGCTGTGACTCCTCTTTTCATCTGTTTTCCCTTATTTTGGAATCCCCTGATCAAATGTACATGATCCTCCAGGTTTCGTGCTTCTGTAGTGGCATGCTGAAAGAAGAGGATTTGTAGGATAGTGTCTTACCAGTACTGTTCAGCAGGCTGCTGGTAGGAAAGAAAACTTTTCCTCTGGTAACTGAAATTGTCTGGTCTGTGATGTTGTAGGATAGGTTACCTATAAAGATATGGGCACAGAACATTTTTAGTAACTTAACTTCATTTTTTAAAAATGAAAGTTTGTTTTGAACCTTCTGTTATTCACCCAGCTGAAAATTCCAAAGCCAGAAATTTCCAGGATCAGGGTGTAAAAATTTTCTGGGCAAGATGCCTACATTTTTGGCCTATGACCTGGTGTTGGATTAAAAAAAAAAAAAGTGCTTTTATCAAATGAAATATTATAAGAAGGGAAGGGAAGGGGAGGGGAAAGAGGGAGAAGAAAAAGAAAGAAAGAAAAGAAAAGAAAGAAAGAAAGAAAGAAAGAAAGAAAGAAAGAAAGAAAGAAAGAAAGAAAGAAAGAAAGGAGAAAGAAAGAGAGAGTTAGTTAAGATGTTCCAGCAAGCCAGCATTGAGGCAGCTTGGCACCTTTGAGCAGTAGAGCTGTCTGGGAGAATTATAAGCTTTTTATTTCTTTGATGGTAATAAGAAACATAAAGACATTAAGTGGCTTAGCAGCAACTTAAAAGAGTCTGCCTTTGTCATGACTGAGCAAAACCTCAGTCTCCTCTGTCAAGTACTGTTTGAACCACAAAAATCATCTCTCATCTGTTTATAGACAGTTTTTTCCCACTGATGCTTAAGATCAGTGATCCATAAGGACACATTTCTGTTTTTTCTAGCCATCTCTGCATTTGCAGCTTCTGAAATAATAGTCAAATACACAACTAGACAATGGCACAGCATTTCCAGAGCTCCCATGGCACTTCTGATGTGGGGATTCAGTGGTGGAATCATTCAAATTTATACAAAAAGAAATAATGACCTTCAGTTATCTTGCAAGCCTGTACATGACTACTTCATTAGGCTCTACTGTGGTTGTTTTGGACTCTTTGACTTTCTCTGATGCACACAACAAATTAAACAACAGAAGAACCTGATATAACTGCTGATTTATAAATCCAAGAGAAAAACCCAGATTTAAATGAAGTACATAACTAACCAGACCAAGAACCAAGAAAATCTCTTTAGTGTGAGATGCTTGCTGGCTTTGACTGAAAATGAGAGTTCAAGAGTATGTGTGCATGTGTATCTGTGTGTGTGTGTGTGTGTGTGTGTATGTGTGTGTATATATATGTCAAAAAAAAAAAGATGTATGAAAATCAGTCCAGTTTTAGGGCACTCTAAAAATTCACTGAGATTTTTGGATATTAATTCGGTTTTTTCCTACTTGCTTATTAGGTGTTTGATTTTATGTGAATAGGTATGACACATCTCACATTTGTAAAATGCATGGCATTTTACAAAGTTATATGCAAAAAAAAAAAAAAGGATATACACTTAGAGATCCTATAGCAGTTGCTTTATACAGCACATTGATGAGCACTATTTATTCTTATTTACATAATGCCTTATGTTAGAGCATCCCAAGACCACAATGATAATGGTAATCACTGTTGTAGGAGCCCAGTGGCCCTGGGAGGGCACAGGGATACATGTGTGTGCCTCAGCAGACTCACTGGTGCCTGTGTGCTCCGAAACTGCCCTCAACTACAGCTGCTGGACCAAGGACCCTTCAAGGCTGTTATATCTTAGCTGGTGTTCAGGCAGGCACAGGTGTAGGGAAGCAGTGGCAGGGATATGGGGATGTGTGGAGCAACACAGACTATCCCCTGCAAATAGTAGAGTAATTCAGCATGCTTTTAGAAAAAAATGCAACCAGCAAGCTGTGCAAGAGCAGAATAATGAAGCATTAGAAGCTGTCAGAAGGTTCTGGTATAAATGCATCGTTGTGGGTGCTACCAAAAATACGTTCACAAAATGGAAAGCAGCTGCTACATTTGTGCTTCAGCCAAAAGACAACTCCCATGGAAATACAAAAGGACAGGTTCTGGCTGTTCCAAAATCACAAAGGCAAACCAAGATGTTAAAAAAGCAAGTCACTTTGGGCTTTATACTGCTGAGCAGAGATTTTCTAAAGGGAAAGACTAGTGAAAAAATGTTCACCCTAGGGGTTTTTTATTGATTTATTGATCTTTAATGAGGCTGTCTTTCAATGTTCTATTTGCCAGCCATTATTACTCCACATTATCTCATTATTTCACTGCTGCTCTGCAATTTTATTTAGCTTCTCTGGCAATTTATTTCATCCATAAACTACCTTCAGCATTCACTACATTTGCCTAGCAACTATCTCAATTGTAATATTATGAAAAGAAATATGTCTAACGAAACGGGGATACTGAAATGTTTTTTCATTCCTCTTTTGCTGCTGCAAGTCCTTGGCAGCTTGGAAACCCAAGTCTTTATCTTCTAACTCGGTGGAACTCAACAGGGAAATTGCTTCTGTGAAGTATTGAAAATCTGGTACACGTTACTCCACATGACTTTGGCCTCTGCTCAGAGACAACTTTTCCATGCTTAGTAATAATTTTTGCAAGGTAATGTGGTGACTCTCAACTAGCAGCTGAAAATAAGCACCACAGAACTAATGCTCTGAGAGAAGGCATCACAAATTGAGGACCTGCTGCTGTGGGTTTTGCAAGATGCTCCAGATTAATGTAGGTTTGCAACCCAACATTCACTAGACTGGTGCCACATTTGCAGTTTGGCTACATAACTCCTGTGAAGCAAAGAAGATGAGTTGTGTACTCACGTGCTGCTGTCAAAGTCTCGCTGGATGCTGTGGCACTGGTGTAGCCTTTTGCCTCTGCAGTAGAAATTAGCACTCCTGCTGAAAAGCACAAAGGCTTGTAAAAATTGCTGTAGAGAACCATATAATTTGTTTTTCATTTCCCCCCTCTTTCTTCCCTGTTTTCTGACTAATGAGGTCAAACAGGTGTAGCCCACCACTCAAGATGCTGGCTTCCCTCAGACAGGCATTACCCAATGCTGTGTCTGCTTTGAAAGCTAGAAACTGAAGAGGAGTTTTACTGAGATAGGAAAATAAACTTAGACAAAACATTTGAAGCATTTTTATATTTCAGCTTAGTTTCAGGCAAACCTCAGGAGCTTGAGTGCACTGGCTGGTTTTGACCTGAAACCAGTAGAGCAATGAACAAACATACATAAATCAGAATTTAGACAGGATGTCAGCACTCCAGTGAAATAGAACTGTTTTCCCAACTACCAAAAGGAAGTTTTGAAAAAGTTAGAGTACAAGAGTCACACCTGTAATGTCTGATGCCAAATACCAACTTATTTGACATCTTCCTTTAAGCATTTTTTTAAGTGCAAAGATTTCTAGGGCTCAGCTAAGTATTTATCTGATATTCAAACACAGACAGATGGTGGCTAGCATGTAGGCCTTCATTTTCCCAAGAGAACTATTTCACATTTACTAAAAAGAAACCATATTTCTTAACAACTGTCTCATTTTGGAAAAATATCAAGCCATGTGAACAAACCTGCGGAGGTGAGCTGCAGCTGTAACTGATCACTCAAAGCATCTCTGGCTCAGTGATGGAGCAGTTGTAGAAACTAAGCACAACCAGGCTACAGTTTTAGCAGCCTTGGTTTTGCTTCCCCTCTTCCTCCTCTTGCCTATATATGCGCGCTCTTCTCTCATATCCATTCTCAGCTGTCTCTTAGATTTTCACTTGCAAAATAACAGGAACTGAACCAAACCTGGACTTCTGTAGACTAAAGCAGAAGGCTTGGGCTTGGTGTCTTGTCCTGACTGCAACCCAGAGGATTTGCTCAAGAAGCTGATCTTGAGCACACTGGTGGTACCAGTGTGAGGACCAGCAGTGAGCCAGAGAGAAGTGCTAACCCAGGGCTGTCATACCATAACAGGCACTTCTTGGGACCACTGGTTAAAAGGCAATTGCTTCCCGGGCTACTTGCAGAAGAAAAATGGCTCAGATCCACCTTACATTACAAGTGTGACCTCGTACCACCTCAACCAAGGAAAATGTATAATTCAGTGAGGATAAACCCTCTCTCTTCACATTGTTTATTTATAGCCTTTGTTGTGAGTTTTTTTTGTTGAGATGCCAGAGCTTTCAGTCCACTTGGCAAGCAACTTTGCTGTTCTGCTTTCAGCCAGGCAAGTGTCTCTGTTTTGGGGATGGGGAAGGCAGTTTGAGAAGAAGCAACCTTTCATTTCAGCACTGCTGCAATCTGTGTTCCTGCCTTGGCATATCTCAGTCAAGCCTTTGCAAGCTCCTGGGCTTTACGTTGAGTGATTCAGCTCCCAAAGAGCACTCTTTAGGGAAGGCCAAAGCCTTGTGTTTAGTGTCTTCCTCCAGTGTTCTATTTAGGCATGATATTTAACTAAATAATTTAACTAATAATTAACTTTTTGTAAACGTTAATAATACTCAATGTCTGTTCAGTTGCCAAAATTAATGAATGTATCCTAAACAGAGCATTAAAAAAGATAAAACCAAGACAGTATTTTCTCATATATTTATTCCTGAACGGTGGTTACACTGACAGTGGTTAGTGTGTAAAGCACTAGGAAAAGAACTTCAATGACATTAAATTTCTTGCTTCAAAAAAAAAAAAAGATAGTTATTGTGTTTATATGTTTTTCTATTACAATGTTGAAGCAATAGAGAAAACAGTTTGATTCAATTGATTACCTTGTGTTGTGGAAGCAGGAGTCAAATTTTCTGAACTTGTGAAATCCAGAGAGGCCACAGATGTCGACTGGTGCTCTAAAGACAATTAACATGGTATCACACTTAGTCAATAGGTTCTTCAGAAAATAATGTTAATAAATCACAAAACAACCTAGATCAAAGAGCTTGCAGTAGCTGCTGGGTAAATGCAGACTGAGCAGCAGAAATCCTGCTGTGGGAGCTAAGGCTAAATGCTCAAAGCACAACTCCAGTGGGCACTTGCAAGGCAGCTGATGTTATCGATGCTGACCCTTTCCTGCTGGCTGGCTGCAGGCATTGCTTATTTGTGCTTCTGTACACAAGGTTTGGTTTGACTGCTCTGGGGTGGATCGTGGGCTTGAATGTGGTGCTCCCCAGCTAAGCCAGGGCCTTGCCAGAAATCATCCGTGACAACAGGCCACAGCCACATCAGCCCAGGAGATCACCTGCTCTTGTGAGTTTTCCTCTCAATTGCTGAAGGTAATTCTACATAATTATCCATATCCATGTTCTGGTAATACAGAGTTAATTATATAATTAATGAATGGGAATGATGCCCTGCTGTTGGGTCAAGGAAAAGTGATGGCTTTAACTTTTCTATCATATGCACCTCTCTGTCACAATAGGACAAATTTATTTACCGTTTTATTGGCAAATAATTCAATTTTACAAAAATACGTAAGAATGATATATAATATTCAGCATGCCATTTAACATGCTGTCCTAACATGGCAGTTTTAGCAAGATTTCTGTCAGATGTCTGCTTGGGTAACCTCACAGCTCACAAGTTCCCAAGCAGCAGCACATTGGTGCTGTCAGCACCAGCGCATATTGACCTTTGCCTCTCACACCTCTGACTCTGGTGCATGACATTTAGGCAGTGGTAAAGTAGAGATCCTACATATATTGAATAAGTAATATTTGCCCCCTTACCTGAGGCTGTCATGACAGCTGATGTAAGTGTTGAATTACCGAAGTCTATAACAAATCAAAGTAAACATTCAGCATGAGAAAGGTGTTTATTCTGCTTTAGGAAAGTGGATGATTGAAAGGTTCAGGAGCAAGAAAGTGTATTGCACCTAAATTCCAAATAATCTTTCCATGTGCAACTCAGACAAGTAGTCCAGAAGGAAACATGAAATATCTGACGTAAATGTGCTGAGAAATCCCTAGAGAAACAAAGGTTTTGGGGAAAAAACTTTGGAGCCCTTGGTACCTCAACTTCAAAACCAGAAATGAATCACATGGGTTTATTCCATACAAAGAGGTGCACCATATTAGCACAGATGCTGAAACAACATTTATGACTTGGTGGTGGCACCTACACAGTTTCATGTACATGAGGCACTTCAGACGCTGCAACTCTGAGGAGAAATTTCAGAGACACTCTGCACTGAAACATGCTCACTGAGTCCTCAGAGAAGAGGAGGATGCATTATTCCTTCTAATTAAAAACTGTTAACCACACAGGCAAGCTCAGCAGAAACAGCATCCTGCCCAAGCAGACCTAGATGTCTGTTTTCTTTCCTATTTTTTCCCAGCAGGAGAGGCAAAGTACTTCCTGAGTGGGCCAGGAGGATGGATAATGTCCCCCTCAAAGAGGTCCATGAAGGAACTGATCTATTAAAGCTCACACATTTCATTAGAAAACTATATCTGAGAAGGCAGCCAGAAAGTACCTCTGTCTCGTCAGGCACGTGTGGAGGGCACTGAGTGGCACTGCAGACTGGATCTTAGCACAGGCAGGTGACCATCCACCCTGCAGCTGCTCTTCTGTGCTAACACTTGTACCTCCTGTGACTGCTGCTCTTTCATTTGCATTTCAGCTTAGGCCTGCCTGCACTAACAGGGATTTCACAGTAGCTGGCTGACATAAAGGACTCCTTACCAAAAATGCAACAGGTCTAAAAACCAGAGCAGTGAGGCTCTTTGAGATGTGCCTGGCTCCCAGAGGGTTCTGCAGAGCCTGCAAGAGAGAGCAGGGTGGTGGCCTGATGTGAGCTGCTAGGCTTCCTTTGACTTCATCCTGCAGAGGCCAGCAGAGGAAAAATAATCCCTCTCTCAGGGCCCCCCAATATCTGGGATGGTTTTCTGTGGGGTATTGGCTGATACCCAGTGGGGTATTGGCTGAGTCCCCAGGGCCTGCTGCAACCTGCACGTGCTGAAGTTTCTCACAAAACCCGTACTTTTTTCCATGCCATCTACTTACAGCATTTCTCTGACAAACTCATGTAACCCCCTGCTACATGCTGCCTCCCATGCAGAGCAGAGGAAAGCAAACTGCTCCAGGAGAGATGTTTCCAAAGGGATTCAGCTGAGGTGCGGAGGGAACATTTATCTGTCTGCAATAAGCTGATAATAAGACAAACTTGCAGGGGAAGAGCAGGGATTTACCAAATTTACACAAATTAAGAAACATTATATCAGTTCTTTAACATGGCAAAAATGTTGAGGATCTTGGCTCTGTGCTTAAACAGAAGGTAGAGCCATTAGCAGGGCTGTTATTTTTACTTACTAGTTCAGTACTGAAAGAGCTATATTCAGATGCCAGCTGAAGCATCAGAAATAACATTAAATGCCTCTCAAGGATGGAGTTTAATTATGCTTGGTCTTAATTATAATAGATTACATCACCAAAATATTGGTTTATAGTATTTTCTGTGAAGTCAAAGCTGCAGAAAGGGGTTCCTTACTACCCATTTAGAGTAGTAAATGCTACAACAGCTTTAGGACTTTATAAACACACCTCAAACACAACCGAAGTTATTTTATTCTCTAATTTATCCTACCATCTGAAACCGTGGTAGTAAAAACTTCAGCTGAGGCTTCATTAGACTTATTGTCTGTCATGGGAGAAAAAAGAGAAAGATTAATGCAGTTCTTAAAAGTAGTTATAAAGGCTGAAAATTTAGTTTGGGCTTGTGTCATATTGTGCACCTTTGCAGAAGGGATGGCTGAGAATTAATGTAATTCTTTCCTTTCTGTCACATCTAAATACTTTAACATTTTTATACACAGTGGATCTATCTTAGCATTAGCATAGCCTGCAGGCAAGAACACAGACTGCTTTGACTGACAGCTCTTTGATATGAATAAATTTTCTAGAAAACAGCAAATTGGGGGAAATAAGTAATTTTTGAGAAAAAGTTACAATTTATCTCCCTCCCTTCTGAAGCTATGTTTCCAGAGGAGTAAGCTGTGCCTTTTGCTGCAGTCTTACTTTGTGGAAAAACATATCAATAGGAGTATACACAGCCACAAGAGAACTCAGCCGAGCTGCAAATAGTTGCCATGGTAGGTGATGTATCCCTAGATGCTGCTAAGGGGTCAGCAGCTCAGTTGTTTTCTGTGTGCACTAGGGAGCACGCATAATTTAAAAAAAAAAGAAAAGGTATAAATATGCATTTGCACCTAAGAGGAGACATGCACAAGGGGGTGCTAAAGGAAATCTGTCTGCCCTTCTCACCAGTCACCCTGCATCATCAGAAGTGCTGAAAACTGTACTGCCGAGTCTCCTGCTTTTACCAAAAAAGCAGGACAATATTTCTCCCCACTTCCCTAATCATGTAGCTAAATCTTACAATAGAGATTATAAAGGAGTTTCTTCACTATCCTTAGAGGTGCAGCCTTTTGCATGTTTTACTGAAGGTGTATAACATAGCCCTGAGTCTGAGGATTTGATTTCTCAGCCACGAGTGCTCCATGAGAAACACATAATTATAACAGCTCAATGGTGCCATGTGGCTGTGTTAAGAGTATCTTTGGGTATGGGAAGTACAGCAAGATTCTGGTTAAAAAAATAAGTGTCTTCTGCTTGTGCAGAAGTTTCTTAGCTCATTCAGAGGTTTGAGCAAAGATTTCAGCCAAAAAACCTGCCAGAGAGTTCAAACTGCTTGATGAACTTGTACAATAAAGCTTTTATACTATTGGCATTTCTTCAGTATTTTAAATAACAAGAGAATACATGTGTTTGGTGTTCTTAACATTTTAGAAGTGTCTTATCTAAGAAAAACCTACCGAAGGAAACAAATATTTCTTCAGATGAAATATTCTGTGTTTCATTTTCCGGGAAGGGAAACAGACACACACATAAGAATTTTTTATGTGTCTTATGGGTCCCTTGCAGCATCAGTGTTAATCTCAATGCATAGAAACCTTCACTGTCTTGCAAGTCTTCTTGTACCACAGAAATTTCTTTGGGACAGAAAAAAAAAAAAAGAAAAGACCCTCTTGTTACACTCCAAACTCTAAGTCAGAGCTGTGCAAAATATTAGTACTGGAAAGCAGGCTGATATAGCCACAGGTTTCTTTGCTGAGACACTGTCAAAGATTTGGCAAGAATGGTGTGGTCATGCCAAACCATAGTTCCCATCCCTGGCATGGGACTCTGGTCACAGCGTTTTGCCAGCTGTTTCCTTTGAGGAGGCCTGTGCTCTCCCCTTCAGCCACATAGACACCTACAGTTTCCCTGGGGCAGAAGTGGATAAGAGTCATGGCTTTCCCTGGGCAGCACTCCTGCAGCTGTGCTGTTTCTCTGTGGACAGGTTGCTTTACCTGCAGGCTGCTCTGTCAGGCTCACTCTGTCCATGTACCACAGGGGGCTTGGCTTAGGAGATGCCTTCCTCACGACAGCTCACATGAGGCTGTGGGGCAGCACAAGGCAGTTGTTAGGTTACATACACACACACACAGAGATATATATGTATGTATGTTAGGTGAGCCTCTGACATTTCCCTTCTGGCTGCCAGCTTCCAAACTCCTGCACAAACAGTGCTTGCTTACTCCCAGTCCTGCTCTGGAAGGAAGCACTTGCTTTCTCCTTATTGTGTTTCTTGCCCCCTCCTCTCATTTTTCTGATTGCAGACACTGTTGAATGAGAGCCCAGGGTCAGCCCTGTTGCCCTGGGTGTCAGGACTCCAACTCCCTCCAGTCCTGTGCTGTGGCTGGAGAGATGTAGAGTGACCCCCACTCTCCTGTGCCCACTCTCCTGCTCCCAGTGACAAACACTTACATGGAAAAACACTGGAACTGGTAATGGGCACAGTGTGTGTGATGAGAATAAGACACTTTCTGATTGTCATGTAAATCCTTTCTTCATTAGGCAGATAAAGAGACAATTCCTATGAAAAAGACTGCCTAGCCCAATGATATGTTGAATATGATACCTTTGTAGCAGACAGAATATGTATGCCATTTCCAGAAATCAAAGTAGATGCTTTAGATGCAGTAGTCCTGGTTCTATGCCAATTGTTCCAAAGATCTGTGTTTGTGCTCTGTTTAATTTCTCAGCAAACAATAGATGGGCAGGACCTCAAAGTCAAGGCTAGGTGAAGGGTTGGGCTCTAGAAGGGTGAGAGGTCTCATCCTCATGCTGCCCGGACATTCCCAAGTATGTTTATTTAGCAGGTTATGACGCTATTAAGTACTAAACACTTTTATGAGAGAAATGGCCTTGTTCATTTCAAGAGAAGAAAAAAGCATGTGCTACTCATGCAGCACAAACCTCTCTTGCTCCCTCATTCAAAGAAAGTGGTTCCCACATTAAGTTGGAAGCAAGCTTGATGTATTGAAGCCAGCAGAAGTCAATCATTCAGTACGAAGACTGAAACTATCCAGCTGAAACTCTTTCCCTGCCATGGTAAACAGCACCTGAGCTTGTAGTGTAATTGCTTTCTCCTATTTTCCTCTTCATTATTCCCTTATTTTTCAGGCACTTTTATATCATAATACTTTATCAATCCTTCCTATGAAGAAACAGAAATCTGATATCCTCACTAGATTTAAGCCCTGCAAAAAAGGCAAAAAAGAGAAGTAAAGAAGTCGGCATTTGTTTGGAAGTGAAGAACAGACAGAGGCTCTCGGGGGAGTTTCCATTTCACAGTCCTGTGAGAGCAGGAACCCCTTGCTCTGTTCAACAGGACAGTGCAGACAAAAGCCTGCAATGTCCAACACCACACCCAGAAATAGGTCACCAGGAAAATTATACCAGTTTTCAGAACCAACTGACTCATGGATTGTGTGAAGTGGGTGGTTATGGATAGTACAAGGTTCTGCCTGCCCACAAGCTCTGTTTCCAAGGAAAACCTTCTTGATTTGAAATTTACTTGCAGCTCAAAAGGTTTAACTTGGAGAGATGGAACAGGAAGCAAAGCACCATACCTAATAGCCAGAGAGGCTTACTAATCAGTCATATGGGCCATAAATATGTTTTATACAAAGCCAGTGCAATTCAGCAGGCTTTTAGGTTTTGCTATTACCAAAACTGAAACAGAGGCCCACACAGCAGAGGAGTCCTTAGAAGTCCCTGGTTTGTGCTCACTGCTGTGGAGGTGGCAGTGGCTCAGAGGAAAGGGCGCGAGCACCTCGTGGTAACTCAATGCCTTGCCTGCTGCCCTGTGAGCTCTGTCAGTTTGGAGGATGCCTCCTGTGCCTGATTCAGCTCAGCTTGCCTGGCCTTGCTGGGGTGGCATGGTGGCAGTCACAGGCAACGCTCTTTGCTCCAAAATTGCACACCTTCTGTGAGGTGATGGCTGATGAAGATCTCAGGGTAAGCTGGAAAGCAAACATAAATGCATTAGTGAAATGGACACTGCAGATCACAGTAACAGCTTCTAATAATACTTAACACCCTTCTATTGTAAGAAGAGTGGAAATTAAATCCTACCTCCAGCCACACATCAAGCAAGATAAAAGTGTTTACAGCTGCAATTTGAGGTCAAGGAAGTGGTTTACAAGACTGTATCACCAGCTATTGCCACAGGATCCAGGATGCATTTCACCGCCTACCTCAACTAGGCTTGGGTGGCTTTGCTGGGGAAACAAACTGAAACCATCCTGCACTCACAGCTCCAGCAGCAGAGCCACCTTTCCCAAGCCCCATGAAATCCCAGTTCCTGGTTCCTCTGTGTGCTTGACAAAGGTATCTCCAAAGGCTTTAGTCAGCCCCCAAATGCTGATTGATTTTGGATGTCAGCTACCCAGATGCTGTTGCCTGGACAGACGTGTGACAGTGTCCCCACAGATGCCTCTTGCCTTGCCAGGAAGCCCAGAGCTCGCCCTCACAGCAGAGCAGCAGGGCACTGATGACCACACCCACATGAAACAAAAAACTGTTTTCTTCTGGTTTTTGCAGCATTTTGGTTCTGAGCACAGCTGATTGTATAAAGTAAAGCTATCAGGTACCCTAAGCCTCTCTAAACTACATTTCCAAATTAGCCATTGGGATGCCTGGTTTGGAGCAACATTGGCTGACTTGTTAAGTAAGGACTATTGAAACTGTGTTAATGTATAACAAACCTCAAGAGCCTCAGATAAATTTGGCTTCTGGCCCTTTCTGAGCCCTGAAACTGGATTGGAAACAAGTTCTCTCCCTGAATTACTTAGGAGGTCCAAAATTCTTTATCTTTCCAATCTAAACCCCACTTTAATCTCCACCATTAAAATAATTTTCTATTTTTCTTTCCCTGTTAATTGGTATAGGACTACCTCAGTTAATTACAATCCCCCCTGAGGTGAACTATCTAAGTTTCCCTCTTTTAAACAGCCAATCCACCAAGGACTCTCCTGACTTAATTTTAAATTTCCGTTTTTCTGCCTGATGTTACTGATGGATTCTGCCTGGGCATGACTTACATTGAGTTATCACGGCCTTCTGGTTTTCTGGACTTATGGTACTTTTTTTTTAGTGGAATTTCCTGTTTTTTTAATCTCTTCTGGGTTTTGAATTTTTCTGCTTTTTTGGAGGGTGGGGTGGGGCAGGGGTTATAGTTCTTCCTATCAGGAAATGAGTGTCCTAAGATTTCATTCTTTCTTCTTTGCCAAAACTGTACAGGTGGTAGTGGAGCTGGCAGAAGACAGACAGACTTTTTCGGATGCAGGGAAAAGTCTGGTAAACTGGATCCTCTAATTGCTGCAGAAGTTGGCTGGGAGGCTAAATGATGTCTGGTCTAGTGCATGCTCTTCCTTTTGTCTTTTTCATGAGAATGGGTATGCTTTGCCACACCTGTATTGAGGGCCGTCCTCTGCTTTCTCAGATGTGTTTGCTGGGTAGCTGTTCTGGCAGGCAGCTTTCATGCATAGCTCTGAAAGGTCTAATAGATCTTTTCCAATTAACATCTCAGCCCCTGTTAACACTTTGACATTAATTTGTCTTGCTAGGATATTTACCAATGTTTGGATCTAGCAGAAATTCAATATTTAGTTCAGCAGTTTCTGCTGTTGAGCTTTTACTCTTACAAAATATTACATTTTCTTCCTCAAGCCGGGTCTTATAAGCTCTCGGAGGAATATAATGCACCCAAGATAGCTCAGCTACCGTTGGAGGCATAAAATAAGCAGGATGTCTTCTGTTGCAGTGTTGGAAACAAAAAGGTTTAATAAAAGGCAAAATAACAACCAGAAAAAACTGAGACAGATGCAAGAGATCTGCTCCTGGTAAAAACACTTCACAAAAGCCCCTGGTTCCTTTGTTCTCTTATTTTTCTACCCAATTGGTCAGGCGGGACTTTTTGGCTTCTATCCAGTTAGCTGCCCTTCAGTTTGAGGTGAAGTCCCTGGGGTCCAATGAGGTGGCTTTTTACCTAATCGATGAGAGAAACTTCTGGGCTTCTTTCCTTTTTAGGGGGACAAAGCATAATTTTGTCACTCTGTCAACAGGGGGCACACTCCTACACCAAAAAGGAGAAATCAATATTTGGCAAAGTTGGATGTGAAAAGGCCATACCTTTTCACAGCAACTTGTATCTAAAAGAACTCTATTCTAGAAGAGAAATATTTTAAAGTATTTAAATCCAAAAGCACCCTCTTAAAAAAAGCTATCTTGATTGAATGTCTGTTTTTACCCAACATGCCAAGACTCTCAATTTCCTTGAGCGATCTTTTCATGCCTTCTCCATCCTCTCCAGTCCAATTCTCAGCCCCATTGGGCCACCTCAAGCAGCTGTGAGGGAAAACTATTTGGCACTCCTCAGACTTGGCCTGCCTCTGCTGTGTTTAGCCCTGCCTGAAGTATTTTCCAGAGGGATCCTGCATGAGGAGTTTCCCACAGGCGCCTTCTCCTCCTCCTCCTGTCCCTTCCAGCTCTGTGCTGCGATAGCTGCCTGCCCTCCCTGCCCTACTTTTAAGCCACCCAGCCTGAGGGGTTCAATTGCATGAGTGTTTGGGTGACAGGGGTGATGCTGGCTTGCCAAGATGGGAAAACCTCCCCAGGTTTCCACTGGGCTTCTTCCCTAGCTGTGCCCTTGCTAATGGCCAGAAAGACAGATACAACCAACATAAGGTGCTGTTGACTTTGTATGCATATACTGTCTTCAGGTTCTGTCCCACCCATGTGAGGCTGCATCTAACTGCCAGAACACAAATATTCATTTCTTTATTCTCTGGTCAGCACAAGGAACAAGAGAGGGGCTGCCATCTGAAAGAGATCTTTGTCCCCACATGTCAACTAGAGAATGCTGGATTATCCTGGGCAGTGTCTCTGCCAGTGCTGTGCAGGGATGTGGCTGGCTCGGGGCACAAGGGAGTACATGGAGAAAGGCTGGGATGGTGCAATCAAAAGTGGCATGACTTCAGCAAATGGTAACAGGAAAGTGTGAGACAAGATGCAAAATAGTTATTTCACCTGCAAAATTCAGACATGAAAGGGCTAGGAGCACATTTCCTCTGAGTGGTGGACTTTACTTAGCTGAGGTCTAAGAGACTTTCCTCAGTACCCACTGCAAATCTCAAGGCTGTCAGGGAGTGGAGCCAGCTCTGCCCTTGGGACCCCTGCGAGAGAGGCTGGTGGCACAGCACCCTGGTCCAAAGCCAGCCAGCACTTACTGGGAAATGCAGACTGTTCACCACCAAGGGCCACAGCTGCTTTCTCTAGTTTGCCTCTCTACCCTCCTGTACTGATACTTTGATGTAGGTTCATGCATAGCTAAGCACGTATCTCTCAGTAATTCAGAGAAAAAGCTAAATAAAACAACCTCTTAGTAAGAGATACACAAATCCAGGCAAGAGCATCAGCAGTGATGGAAGAGAGAGTTCAAGTATATTAGTGTCCTTTAACGATTACCCAGGTGACACTGTTGGTATTTGAGACGTGTTGATTTCAAAAAGTGTCTGAATCATGCGAACACAAGAGGAGGTTTCAGATCATTAACGTCTATTTTTATTTCTTTTACCTCAGTGACCAACAGCCTCAGACACATTTTGCTTTTTTTCAGCTGCTCCCTGTTGAACTTGTCTTTGAATTCAGAGCATCAGCCTTGAATGGCCATGCCATCCACAAGCTGTGGGCTTCCTTGGACAATCAGCTACAGTCAAGGGCCTAAACACAGGCCCAGTGTATAACACTCATTTACTTTCAAAGCTTTGGAAATATGTTTTCCTGACCAACTGATCTCTAAAGAGAAAAGAAAGCCTGGTTTTCAAGTGGATAGCAATTTTCTGATTTTTAGTGATAAGCCACTTGAAATGGAGCAAGGCAAGCAACTAAAGATGGGGAAGGCTTACAAAATGAAATGCCAGCCCACATGTTTGCAGTACACAGGCTCTGCCACTCTTGGCCAATTTGAGACCCCCACCAGGACCCTCATTTCCTCATTTTGTCAGCAGTTGAATGTCACACGCCTTTGAGGATGTGATTTTGCTACAACTGTAGTCCCAAACTGTTTACTAAATTATGGCCATGATTTCCTGACCACAGACAGCATGGTCATTGGGACATGAAGATCTTGATGACCACTGTGCTTCCCTGTAGCCCACAGAATCCCAATATAAGCCTACACATCAGGGTAGATTATTGCCATGTGCATCACAGCGTGCATATATGAATCTACTATTTTTTCTTGCCAGAAACTGAAGGAAGGGACTCAAATTCTTCTAAGAACTCCAGGGTTTACTACCATTTACAATGACATTTTATGTCATTGCAGCTGAAAAAAATGACAAGGTGAATATGTTTACATTTAAAGAAAACTCAGTATCTGTGAAAAGTTATTGACTTCAGAACTAGGCAGGAGTGTCACCTTTCCAAGGGAAAGGCGGTTGGCATAAACCCCTTACCAAATACTCTCACAGTGATGCTGCTTTTCTGGACTCTCTCTGGGTGGTACAGCACGTAGCAGGAAAAGACTCTGCCATCATCAGTGATTTTGGTGGGGAAAACCTTTAGGTCATTGCTCAAACCCAGGAGGACTGCCTGCCCATACAGCATCCTGCTGTTCCTGTACACAGCAGGACAAGAGGGCTCCTTGGTCACAATTTCCTCTTTCCTCCCATTTTCATCCTGTGTACAGAAAAACCAACAAAATTGTGAAGTTCAGACACACACACAGAGAAATATTTTTGTAAACCAGCTCTATTCCCACTATGAAAAGCTTCCCTTGCATATTGTGTAGCAGTAAGTGGACATTTGAAACATCTGGGGTTTTTTTTCCAAATATATTCTCTCAGAAATTCAACACCAAGAGCAGTTGTCATCTTGACAATAAAATATGGAATAAATAGCTGTGTCTTGTGAGTTCTGATCTCTGTATCCTGCAGAGAGAGCAACAGAGTTGCTTTCT